TATATATATAATATTCATTTATATACTAATTTGTATTATTTTTTTATTTACATTTATTAAATTTTTTTAATTGGGGGTGAAAAAAAACATAGACTTATGTGCATATTCAGACGTTAAGTTATGTGTACATACACATTCACCAAGTGATAAATGACATCCTAATGGGAAAGAGCCTCCAATAACCTCTGACGTTTACCTCAGCTTAAAAAACACATTAGCCAACACCGTGAGAGGTTTTGTATTCAGTAGGTCGAGTCTTGCTGTGGGCCAATCAGCCCAAACAGGCTGTTTACAGTGGTGGACTTATAGCTTTGACATAAAGCACAAATACAAAAAGCGAGTTAAATATCCTGTTACTTAAAGATGCGAAATCTGAGCCAACGCAATCGTGGCTCTTTGTCTGACCGTAAGCGGCTTTGTCATGACACACATCAAAACTTGTTCTTATTCAACTCTAGCAAATTCAGTTTCATTTGGATGTTTTCTTTGATTTGCTATCTCCAGTGGATTCCTGCCGCAGTAATAAGCTATTTTGGAGTCTTTTTCCTGGATCTGAAATTAGACACATTAGTCACGGCAACATTTCTGCAGTCCTCAAAAAGATCTGTGCGCTCGAGACGGCCAGACGTTTCTCAGAGTCTCTTATGTGTCACGTCAAATCCGCAAGGGATCGTGGGAATTCAAAATAGATTGTGGGCCAAGAAAAAGAAACATGACCATTGTTTCCTCATCAGCTGCCTGGAGATTGCGTAGAAGTTCATGAGCCGCCATTCAAATCAAAGCGGCCAAATAGCAAATCTGGAACTGAAGGAGCGTCATTATATCTTTCACTGTTCATTTAGTTCTTCCGCATTTACTGTCTGCTGGCGACGTTACTCTAAAACAGCTGTGGAACATATTTATTTATTATGAAAAACTGATCATGAGGGACTTTTGCTTCTGCTAACTTTTAGGGCTTTAAATTATTAAAATCAAACAAACGTGATATGAACAAATACTGCTGTATATAGGATACATAAACCACCATTCAAAAGTTAGGTGACAGTAATATTTTTTAAGAAATAGTTTTATTCAGCAAGGATGCATTAAATTGATAAAGTGACAGTAATGACATTTACAAAAGTTTTGTTTTAAATAATTTAATTAAGCAGAACAACTCAAATCAGCATATTAGAATGATTTCTGAAGATCATGTGACACTGAAGACTGGAGTAATGATGCTGAAAATTCAACTTTGATCACAGGAATAAATTACATTTTAGAATATACTCAAATATGAACCAGTTACTTTAAATTCTAATAATATTTGACTGTTTTTATTGTATTTATGATAAAAAAAAGCAACCTTGGTGAGCATAAGAGAATAAAAAAACATTTAAAAACTTTAAAAAGCTTGCTGAACCCAAACTTTTGAATGGTAGTGTATAGAAGGCAAAAAGTATATACATATATATATATATATATTGTGGTTTATACTGTTACTGTTAAATAGAATTACACACACCACAAAAAAAGGTCAATGAATAAAACACAGAGCACTGTCTTCTGAAACTGAAGCAGTGTAAAGTTCAGTGGTGTGAGTGGGAGAACTGGTTTGTACCTTGCCGAAGCGTGTGGAAAATGTCCCCGTCAGGAGCGAGTGGAAAATGATGATGGTCTCATCCAGGTCCCAAATAAACACTCTCTACACACACACACACACACACACACACACACACACACACATGATGAGCATGAGCACAAATATAATCTGCTTACTTGTCAAGAAATGTATTTACTCCAAAAACACTGCATATTATCTCAGTGCTGTGTATATGATAATAATGGCTGATAATTCTAGTCGGTTCAGCCACATTTCACAGCTTATGGGCAGACAGGCAAACGCTCTGTATCCATTGTTCATAAACATTTTACAGTTTTCTTTGTCTGGTAATCAAATACACATATAGATATTTCAATATACAAAACTAAGAAATACATGCAATAGAATTAATAGAGCAAAGAATACATAAATGAGTCATTTGATTTCAGTCGTCTTTTGTTCAAACCTGTGTGACTTATGATGATTTAGCAGAGTTTTGACACTTTTATTTTGCTTTTGGTCATTTTTGTAAATCAGTTCTCATATGTTTATTGTATGAAAAAGATTAACTTGGAACTTGTGCTAAACGTCCATTCGAAAGAAAGAAACTCATACAGGTTTGGAACAACAAAAAGGTGAGTAAATTGTCAAAATGTTAATTTTGGGTGAACTGTCCGTTTAAATTGTTGAATGAGGTTTTTGCCAGACATCATTGCACAACTCTAGGTTGGATGTGAGAGTAATCCCTGTGGTACGGAGCACAGGAATGTTAATGAAAGGCGTTGTGTAAGGGACACCGTGAAGGCCAGCGTCTGTACCTCAATGTCAGAGTCCAGAGGGGGGATGGGGTCATTGGCCCTCTTCCTGCCTCTCAGCTTCCCATCTGAGCTGCGTCTCGCTGGAGCGCCTTCCTGCTCCTTTCCTGGAGTCAGAGGACTCGTGGGAGTGTGGTACTCTGCTGTTACACACACACACACACACACATGTGATGAAATGTCATATACAGACATACAACCAAATATCTCAATACCAAAGCAAATAGTCTTGAAAGTTTTATATAAGCATATATCTTTCCCTTGGATGTTATAAGTTGTATTGAGTAAATACAGTCGGATAAAACAAAAACTGTGTCCGTCTTCATTTCAGGCTGCAAAGCAACAAAATGTGATTATTTTAAAGGGGGGTGATTATTTTATATACCCACTGTA